ACACGCTGCATCACTATCTTAACTTGCCCTTTGAAAATTTTACTTATGCCACATTATTCTTGTTTTATGTCTTTATTACAATTTCCACAAGATGTAGACTTGCATTGTTTGAACAACAAACCTTTTGTGCCCAAACAAATCCTAAAATGTGGAAAACAATCGTAAAGGGTGAAATTCCTAGGGATGGAAAACGACTAATTATTCACTTGTGCCATTTGATATCCTTAAAGTTTTTGCCTTTCAACTATGTTAAGCAGACAAACCAAGCTTTTCGTTATTCTCGCTTCAGCTAATTCTTAAGCTTCATTTCTTTGCTAGAATGGAAGAGAGTTTCTCATACAAGCTAACTTTCAGAAGCGTAGAAAGCTTGCGGATGATGCTGACTCAACTGCAGCCGATCAGATTAAGGTTGATTTATTGCTTGAAAGTCTTATGACCAAATCATATAATGATTATGTTGGTTCTACTTACCACAAAAAGTTTATATTCCTCAGTTAATCTTCATTATATCTCAAACTTTCAAGTTCTTTATTTTCTTTCTTTTTCTCATACATTTGTGATAGTATGTTGTTCTTTATGCAAGCATTCTTTCTTACAATTGTTTTTTTTCTTAGTCATCCTTAATGGAAAAAATCCAGGTAGTTGCAGATGTTAGACAAAAAGTTGTGGAAACTGTGGAAGTTAAGAGCGGCTCAGATGTAAACAGGAGAAAACAAACCCGTGGTAAGGGAAATTCTAATCCAACGAGAGGACGTGGTTCCTTGGTTAATGACCAGACAAGAATACAAAATTCCAGCTTAGTGCTTCGGTCATCAAACGGTCTTCTCGAGAACTCACATAAAAAGGTATTTTTTCTGCAACCATTTTAGTGTTGTTGCTGTCAAGTACCAGGAGCATAGACCTTTAATCTAGTTAGGGCTGTTTACATTTTTTTCCATTATCCCCTGTATTGGCTAAGCTGTCTGTGTAGTTAAAAACATATTGCTGTTTTATTTCTTGAATCAACAGTCTATCTTAGGTTGTAACTTAGATTGTTATTCTCATATTGATGTTTGTTAGTAGGTACATTATGATACATTAGTTAATCAACATATTTACCATATACCACTCTTGTAATTAAATAATTGCAAAAATGTGGTAAATCATGTGCTTAGTGGTTAATTGTTTTGCGAGATTTTGTGTTATCTCTTGTTTGGTAGAAATGTTCATTGAAGGGGATAGCAGAGTAGCTTTCTTTTAAGGCTTGAAGGGCTAGTAGAAATACTATATATAAAAAAGTATCATTTGAACTTTGAGAAAAGTGTTGTCATTTATGTACAATATAATGTTGCGAGCAATCAAGCATGGACGAAGGATTTGAACCTAAAATGTTAGGTGGAGAAATTTGATTAATGCTTTAGAAAAAGCAGAAATACTATATACAAGTATTTGGACTTCAAAAAAAGTCATTTGATAAGTTATGTAGAATACTAAGAACTAATAGGTTGTGATGTCATATTTTATATTTTTATTATGTAGGGAAACGACAATTTATGTACAGTACATCATGAGGTACTTAAAGGAAAGAAAATTAAATCAACCAGAATAAATTTTTTCCAAAAGCATTCATGTAAATCATTGCCAAGTATAGTTGACGCTAATCAAATTGGTGCATAGATCTTAATTGTGCCTAACTTGTTGCATATGACTTGGTGAAAAAGTTTGCAAGTCGATATGTACTTGTGTAGTCTTAATATGCACATTCTGAATAGATGGCTAATTGGAAGTAGTTCTGCCATCAAAGTGGTGGTAGTCTACTTTCAACATTTGTTGGTGCTATCATAAAAAACTTCATTCTTGGCTGCATTGCAAATCGCGTACAACAGTCAATAACATAGCCTCACCATTGGGGTCCAAGCTCACAAAGTAAACGTCTAGTCCAAGTCATCTCATATATGATGTTGGCCATTACTCGTTGTTAAGATTTGCACATGAACATGAGACATTAGGTTTTTTTTTGCTCATTCAAGATACTAGATTTCTATCAACAAGTACATAGTAATGATATGGCTGTATCAAGATACTAGGTTGTTGATCCATATATGCTTTCTGATGAAAGCAGTTAAGGAAGGTAAATAAACGTTCTTATTATTCACTTGATGGAGACACTAGCAATGAATAGTAGTTAGAGCAACACAGATGTGAAGAAACACCATTTTTGCTACCAGGTAGAAAGTCTCCTCATAGGCAATCTCATAGGCCTAGGAATACCTTCAAGCATTTAATCGGGCCTTTAGAGAATGAAGCTTCACGATGAACAACCACTTAGATCAATGGACTGCTTCTCATTAAAGTTTCCAACTAGACTACCATCTCCTACACGACATTGAAAAAGTAACCATTCAATTTTGAGGTTTATTATAAAGGAGTTTCTACCCATGGACCTTTGCGTTGCCAAGTGTAAACCCGAGTGATTGGAGACGAGGATGGCTATAGTGTGGGCTCTTGTTGTGACTGCTCGAAAGTCGAAAAGAGTTTTTCATGGAAAGTAGAAACAAAGCATATGGGTGGCAGTTTTATACAAAACCAGACCAACCAACATGTCCACCAACCATACCAATTAAATTGGTACCAATTACAGTCGGGTTGGTAGTACCATACCAAGTATGCAAACTTGGTACACGGTATTGGAAGCCACATACAACGGTACTACCATACTACCATTGTACCATACTTATTTAATTATTTATTAGTTTTAGTCTATTTTATGTTTTGAATTTTAAAAATTATAACTTAAACTATTTTCGTTAGTTATATTTCTTGCAATTAGAAACCTTCAAATATTACATGCGTTACCTGAAAACTCATAATGTCACTCGAAATTTGAACAAAATGACAAATTTTCATAAATGTAACTTGAAATTGGTACAAAACCAGTACCAACATGTATATACCAATCGAAAAAATTTGGTAGCAATGAAGTTGGTACCCAATACATTTGGTTGGTACGCGATATGGGGTCTTGCTTACCAATTATAATTGGTTGGTATATAATATTGGGGAAAAAAACTTGAACTACATCAAGTCCACTCATACTAAAGCATATGGTTATTAAGTAATTTGTTGTCAAAATTGCTTCCCTAAACTCTTTGTGGAAAATAAGGATGAATGACGAATATGCAAGCCCCATCTATGTAGAATCTCATTTTCGAATGTCATAGATTCAATTCTTTTGTTAAATACTCATTTGCATTATATATACTATTTATAAAGCATTTGGCAAAAACGCTTAAAAGCAAATTGTTAAGCATTAGATATTGCTTATTAATACACTATCTCTTAAATTTCAAGTTTAAACTTATTGCTACATAGCTACAACTTTTTTTGTTCTCAGTTTATGATAAAAATTTATATTCCGTTGCATTGCACGGGCAGACAATTAGAGAGTAAGAAAGCTTTTGATAGAAAGATCAAGCTTGTTTTTAATATGAGCTAAAAATTCACCAAGATGGAATTTTTTTAGTGCAATTTTAATAATAAGCCTAAGGTCCAAAGAGAAGTATTGATGGAAGTGAAAGAATACCTATATCCGTGTGGAGTTTGAAGAAGGGCAATGGGTGTATCTGAAAATGTGGCCACTAGCAGTAATGTCAAGCTCGCTCTCTATTACTATGGTCCTTTTCGGGTCCTAACTTGAATTGGAAATGTTGTCTACTAGTTGCAACTACCCCCAGAAGCCAACATTCATCCGGTCTTCCATCACAGTTGAAGACTGCTAAGGGCGATCAATTGACTCCCACCTGTTGTCGCATGCAAGGTTCAAAAGGCGTGACATAAGGTGGCAAATTTGTATGTCATATATATAATTATATTTATAGATATATATTTTCTAATCAGATAATGATATTAGAAAAATGTACATTCATATTAGAAGAAGAAAAATCATATAGATTATTATTATAAAAATAGGTTTTTGATTAAATATTTAAAATAGAACTTAGAAAAGTAATTTTACAACTTCATTTTTAACCGTGAGTTTGTAACATTTATGAATTTGTGAAACTGTGAGTGATGTGATTAATTAGATCTATAAAAATGTAAAATCTAAAGTGTAAATACACAAAAGATAAAAAATAATTTTTTTTTTGGAAAAAAATCACATGTTACAAAAACGCATGCATGGCGAGCCTCAAGACTCCATGGCGTGAGCCACATCTTATAGAAATGCTATGGGCCATTTCGTAACGGCAGATTCGCGTCTTGCGCCATAACGTGCCATGGCGTGCCTTTTTGAACACTGGTCGCAAGGCTGTTGGACACCGGAGGAGTGCTGGTTGAACGTGAAACACTGAAAGGGATACGATATGGCCATGGCAACAACTTGGAGGTCCTAATGGGGTGGCAAGGGCTACCTGAACTTGAAGGCACTTGGGAAACTTATAGGGATCTTTGTTAGCAGTTTCGAGAGTTTCACTTTGAGGAGGTGAATCTTTGGGAGGGGAGTATTGATAAGCCACCATTAGTGAAGATCTGTACAAGGAGGGGAACTAAAAGGAGGGGAACTAAAGGAAAAGAGAAAGAAGTATAAGGGGAAATTCAGTAATTGTTTATTTGCTTTCCTATTGGGGGGGGGAGGGGCAATATATCTATACTATATTATAAAGATTTAACAAATACTCTTTTTAAATCATTTTTATGCATAAAGTACTGTTTATTAATGCATATTACTTAAAATTCGAGATTACAAGTAAATTGTGTGTAATTACAACTTATTAAAGCTTCATGTTTGAATTCGTGTAACTAACTGCAGATAAGCATAATCAACTACATGATATACATCTCATTTTAAATATTAAAATCTAAAATATAATTAGGATAATCATTGAATTACACTTATAACAGAATACTTAATTATTATCCTTATAAAAATTATATTATTAAATCAAAAACAAATTACATCGTTGTTAAACCTAAATTAAATTATAATAAAAATTTTGAATTAAAAAAATTACATAAAGAACGAGAATTTTTAAATAGTTAATTTCATACTAATATCGATATTTTTTTTTTCAAATTTTTATGAATATAAACATTATCGCTTTCTCAAAATCACATAAAACCGTATTATATCGTCAGAGACAAAATAAAACGAAACATTATCTCGATGTATCTCGCTGCATTGCACGAGTATCCTTCTAGTATTAAAGATTGAGAGGTGATTGAGGGTGTCTTGGAGTTCGGTAGTTTCTTTTTTTTCATTGGAAGAGGCTGGTTCTTGAAAACCGGTAACCCTGTAATTCCTTCTTGGATTGATCATTCTAATACCAAGCCCTACCATTCAGCTGAGTTCTTATTAGCAAGACAAAGGGTAAAAATGCACATTTCTGGTGGCATTGGTGGATTGTATGTAGCTAATGGAACATGATAAACTGCTAGCTTGGTAATGAGTGGTTAGTGATTTACCATTTCTAGATATGTGATCCATCACACAGGATGAAGAACCTGCAGAAAGGAATGTAGAAGACTAAACTACATAGTCTATCTTTCAAAAGCAAAGACCACGTGGCCAATTGAAATTATTCAATTTAATCGGAATCCTCAATACATGATTAAAATTTCAACTTCTAACTCTTATGTCTCGTGTTTAGATTGTTTATCGTCAACACTTTTTGTTTCCCATGATAGAGAATATAAATCAAAATACAAAAATAAAAGCTGAATGTAGTTTTACCAAACCTGAAGTTGAATATAAAAGAGTACACAGAATCAGAACAATTACAAATGTAGGGGGCAAAAATCCTCAAATGAAGACGGGGAAGCACGCATAGCGACCAGCGTATAGACTTGAATTAATAAAAAAAAATAGGCCAGAAAATTTACTGCAGTACATGTCGAATCAGCAGTAGTACAAGTCAGAACAGAATGGCAGTAACATTGCTGGATTGGATATAATAGCAGTTCAGAAAGTAGAGGATTCAGAAACAGGCTATGCAAGTCTGTAAAATGATATTCTCCCCTTCCCAAAATACCACTTTCAGAAGTAAGTATCTACTTCAAATTCTATCCTTAATTATGAGGTGGAAAATTTCATTACTCCCTCTATTATTAAGGGTATATTTGTCATTTAGTTAACTAAAAAGTGTAATAGTTACACATTTCTAAATTTGTGTGCCTTTTCATTGTGGACATCTATTTTGGGACGGAGGGAGTAACTTACATTTTTTTGCTACAGTGCATTGTTACTCATACTTTTGTAACTTGTGGATCCTTTCCCTATTTGTTTGATCATGTAATGACTTTCCTTCTCTGTAAATATATTGCAGGAGAGTAGTAGACCAAAAGAACAACTTGGACAAAACGAACGTGCTTCATTAGAGGTATGAATGCCTGAAATTCTCATCAATCTCTCAATTCCATAACACTATTAGATCTCAATCAAGGAAATATATTATTCCTCATATACTCCTGCCCCGACATTCTTCTTAAGTATTAAGTAATTTTTTTATCCACATGGATTATCTTTTCACTTGAATGATTTTTCACAATCCAGGTTTCATAATGGTGTCTATGTGATGTCCAAAACCAAAGGTGTCTTTAAGGAAAGAGCACAATAATATGATTAATACAACTGAATCTGTGTTAAGTATTTTAATGAAAACATTTTATGAAGGTGATGCTATACCCGTGGGAGCAGCGTGCATATCTTAAATCGGACATTTATCTGATAAAAAACCAAGTGTACTTGCATATTTTTGAGGGAAGGACTAATAAGCTATGAGCACCTAAACAGAAACCATATGCTAGTTTCTATATCCAGGTCATTTTAGGTTTTCTAATGGTGTTGAATTTTCAAACTATGTTGTTACAGCGGTCAAAATTAAAAATAGCGGTCATGACCGTGATTTGATATAGCTGTTATCGCGATGGTAAAGTGGTCAATAAAATAGTTAGAATTATATATATACTTATGTATAATACTTAATATAGTATATGTATTCAACAAAAAATATACAGTTTAAACATCAACTTAAAAAATTCAAGCTTTACATAAATGAAATAGTAAAAGAGTTTGTATAATTCTTGAAACCCGTCGATTGTTAAAAAGAAGTTGTAGGCTGAAAAGGTTGGTTAGCAAACCTGTTGACTGTTTCATCGTGAAATGGTGGAAGAAAGAACCAAAAGAAACCTTGTCGTTGTACTTGTGGAATGGTATAAGGACCTAAAGAAGCTTATTGTGATCCTCGTGGTGGAACTTGGAAGAACACCAAAGAAGCTATAAGTGAAAAAACTGCCGTTTTTAGCAAATAGCTACTATAGCACCGCTATTTTTTCCACTATTTTGAAACCAAATAATCGATAGTAATAGTGGAACCGCTATTATTCCAAAGATCGCAAACCATTATTGCACCGCGATAGCATATCAGTGCGATTAACAAAATAGAATAGAAATGGGCTGGTGGGTATCAATTAGAAAAAAGAATGACCCATGCAATTTCTTTTTGCTGAATGAGGCGTATATTCTACGTCTAACGCCCTACATCTTAGCATGTCATATCTTACTGTCATCTGTTTCTTTTGTTCTTACCTAAAAATATTCTTTCTTTTGAATCATATTAGGAGGAAGTCACTTCATTGCGTGCCAAAATAATGACACTAGAGGAGGACTTACGAAAAGCACGCCAAGAGGCCTCGGATTATCATCATCTATGCCAGCAGTTGGAAAAGGTGTAGTTGCTCACGGCTCCTTATTTAAGAATTCAGGAGCTGTGTTTGTACTTGCTGTAGTCTAGAATCAATATTTATGTTTTATTGTCTTGTACAGGAACTTAAGGAGCTTAAAAATAGTGAACAGCAGGTGAAACCAAAAGTGAGTATTGTTATGTTGTGTGTTCGCTTTTATTAACTAGCATTTCTGCAAAAATAGGTGAATGGGTGCTTATAACATACTTCCTCTGTATCACTAAAATTGTACCATCTGATTGGACATATAGTTTATCGGAAGTGTTTGACTATTAACTAAATGGCTTAAATTCCCTGAAGTAGACAAATGGTTTATTGTCAGTGGTTCCATACATGAGTCCCACCTGAAGGAGCTTATGAAGGGAGGAATTGAAATGAAAGTGGGCTCTTCAATATAAATTCAAGCAAGCGACCATAGAACCTAGTAGCCTAGGCCACTTATTTTCTATTTACTAGAATATCTTTCCTGTGAAGGAAGCTTCTTCTTAGAATTTATTGCTACCTCGTGGTGAAGAAATTGAATCAATGGCATCAAATGCAAGCTTTGATAAAGTTCTATTCTTATTTGTGGACTACAACGACCTAAAGTAGCTAAATAAGACTTTAAAAGGGAGAATCTTGTAGACCCAAATGAATATCATCCGTTTTTTGTTATGATGAAAATGGGCAAGGAAGTAAGTTTAACTACGAATCTTAACAAATAAATAGTTCTGCAACTGCTTGGGACATCCTTGAAAGGGAAGTGCTACAGTTTTAGTGGGATGCAGGGAGTGTTAAATAACATAGAAATCCGTTGTGTTTCTTTGACTGTATTCAATATGGATTTGTCTGATAATATTTAGTGAGGATTCAAATTGAACAGTAAGGAGTTTCTTTAATCAGCTTAGAAGATCATTATTATCTTCATCTGTTGCAGAGAATGAAAGTCATATCTGATCTGCTGATATCTGTGTCTAAAGCTGAGAGACAAGAAGCGAGAATGAAAATACGACATGATTCTTTGAGACTTGGCAATGTGGGTGTTATCAGGTAAATCATCTAGTAACCATGCTATCTGATTCATACATGTTTATGAAGTGGTAGCGTATAAACTTCTAGATAATTGCAACAGACATAAATTCTGCTGTTTGGTTTCTATTTTCTTCTTTTTCTACACCTATGGTACCATCTGGGGAGCTGAAACTATGAACCCATTTTATGATACAACTGGGAGATGAATGCAATGCTCTTTTTCTTGTGGCTCTCTCGAACTTGTTCACCATGATCTTTCACTAAGATTTTTTATTTTGCTATTGGGAAGTTAAGGGTTTAATTGAAGTTTTAGTTGTGTGCTCATGGAATGTTGATCTATTGATGAATTTTTATCTGTCTTGAGGGGTAGACAGTGGTGCAACTTTATCCGAATCTGTCTATGGCCTCTCTTCACTTGGTTGTTCTTGTCTCGTTAAGCCATTGAATTTCATAACCGATGGTTGGAAGCATGAAGAAAGAATGACATAGTGGAACTCAATGGGTCTAGCGTACTATCCATTACTATGGATTATTAACACTTAAATCTGTGGAAACACCTTCAATTGTCATATTCTAGGAAACCTTTGTCTGTAGTGTGCAAGGTTCTAAATGGAGTGAGGCGTGGTGTGGCCGCGAGGTCAAGCCTTGCACGCATGACAAGGAAGCACCGGTAGATAAGGTGACAAATTTGTATGTCAAATATAGAATTATATTAATATATTATTCAATCAGATAATGATATTAACAAATTTACATTCATATTTGAAGAAGAAAAATCATATAGATTAATATTATAAAAATAGTCTTTGATGAAATATTTAAAATAGAACTTAAAAGGAGTAATTTTACAACTTTGTTTTAATTGTCCATGATGTGTTTTAATTTGTGAAAAATTCTGAGTGATATAATTAGGTAAATATATAAAAATGTAAAAGCTAAAGTTAAAAGTGTAAAAACACAAAAGCTGAAAAGGATTTTAAAAAACTAAAAATAAATAATTTTTTTTTTGTAAAAAATTTGCCCTGTAAAAAATGTATGCCTTGGCATGCCATTGCATGAGCCACGCCTTACCGAAACGCTATAGGCTTTTATCGTAACCACGGAGACTCGTCTTCCGCCATCTGCTATGGTGCGCCTTTTTAAACCCTGGTAGTGTCTCATAAACCTATTCACCATATGAACAAAGGGGTTCTACCTGATTAAGTATTTCACTCGACTGCAGTACGCCTAGTGCTATCATAACACAATACTTTATTGCATGCATATATCCCTCGTCTAGTGTGGTTTATCCTGTACCATTGAAATAGTGCGCCTTTTTTAACCCTTGAAATGTTCTTTCTAAACATCCAACTGCATCATGTGTGGTTTATCCTGTACCATTGGCCGTGTTGGTCAGTCCTTGTAGATCGGAAATTATCCTCTTCCTCTGTGTAAATTCCATTAAACCTCATTTGTCTGCAAAATAGCTATGTAAACTCTTCAGAATCATTCTTCTCCACTCACTGTGCCTTCTAGAAAGTAGAAAGAGGGGGGGGGTATCGAAAAACACACAGATTCTATGGACCTACTTACTGATGCCGTGGGCCCACATAGAGTTGTTCGTATTGACACCCCTTTTTCTCAAATATGAAGTACCTACGATCTACAACCAGATTGTCAGTTTCTTTTTATGTTTTCATGTACTTGCAAATGATACTTTTGTTTTATTTCTCTGAGGGTGTCAGTTGATTAGGTAGTCTTTTTCATTTTGGAATGTTCTGATGTTAGGGACTTTGTTCCTTTGCACTTATCTAATAAAATCAAGATCTTCTTTTCTCGAGCCTTGACTTTTAAACCTAAAGTTGAATATAATTTATTGGTCAAAGCATTGCATAACGACAACAGTGAAGAATTGCATCTGGGTGTTGTGCTATTATATCACGATATTGAATGGTACATGAACACTCATGTGCATATACCCTCTAGGATAATGGGGCTGATCATCACAAAAATTGGCATGTGATTTTTCCTTTGAAATGGCCTTTGAAATATTGATTCATCAGAATATATGCCAATGTTATTGGCTCAGTTTGAATTTTTAATAACTAGGATGGCTGCTTTTGTTTCCGATGGTGTTCTTACATCTACCTTCTTGTCTTGTTCTGCATCGCATGTTTGTGTTTGTATTTTGTTTATGACCCTTGACTGGGATAGTTAACCTGACCCAAAATTACATTTGTTTTTTTGTGATGAATATTATGTTAAAAAGTTTGTAGTCTATGGTTATGCTTTTTGAAGGTGTTCCACTTCACCAAAAATCAAGTTAATTATTTTTATTTTCTTATGCAAGTAGTATCCTTGTATGTTCAAGTCCCAAATCGGTGTCTTTATTTTGGATTATCCTGAAATTCTGTCTGTGTCCTGCTGTTCCCTTCCAGCCACATTTGCCTCGCATTAGCAGTCGTCTATACTCCATGTTATCTATCCACCTTAACTCACATTTATGGTTATTTTTAAGTACCCCTGGCAGCTCCCACACTCGATGATGCGGTCTGCAAGGTTTTCAATCCAATAGTTGGTCTATCCTTGGTCTACTAGTGCTACTCTTTCTTGATGCTGCCATTTCCATGCGTAATGGTATTATTGCCTGTTCTAAGACCTATAACGTCATTTCTTCCTGAATACCTTACGATAACCACTGCTATAGGCAACTATCATATTTCCCCAAACATAATCATCTAACTTGGCACAAAGCTGTCTAAGAAGAGATTGATGTACTCAAAAATCAAAAAATTCATACTTGTATACCAAAACTCTTGCATGGAAATGACGTTGGTCTTAACTATTTGCTTTATCCGGACAATTTTTGAATAAATAGATTATGTTGCGCTTAAGATCTAGTCTCTGACATATGGGATCAGTTCTGTGGAGACACTCTTCTGTGTCCACAATGATAGACGTGTATGACTCATACTGTTGGTTAGTTGCTCTATCAAGTTGGGTATCAAGAATTCCTTTCTTGATAGCTTCTGATGCATCAACCACCAAATTTTAACATGGAGGATGCCTTTATTGGTTTGTCCATCTTACACAGGAATTCCACGAGTTTGGTGTCTCAAGGTTATGCTAAGTACTTGGTCATTTATAGGAACCATTGCAACAAGGAAATAATTTTGATGGTGTTATGATAAAAGAAAATGACACTGAGATCATAGCTGGCATGAAGAGAGACTCTTACTAGTCAGAAAATATATTTTCCATTTTTTATCTTGTTTGTTGATTACTGGGATGCAAAGTAGTTGATACACCTGTGATTCATAAGAACAAACTACTGCCTGGAAGATGAGCCCCCTCTTCATGATCCAAGAAGTATAGGAGATAAGTAAAAAAACTTAATTGCTTGAAAGTTAGACATCCATTTGTTTTGTATCTATGAGTTGAATTAGTTATTTAAACATCTTGTTATGCTCTCTCATAGACAAGACCCTAATATTACAAGGCAACAGCATGCTGCATATTTTCATCTCTTACTTTTTTTCTTGGAAATGCATCTGATATCTAATTTCCTCTTCTTCGATGAAATTGCAGAGCTGGAACAGTAATATCCGAGACTTGGGAAGATGGGCAAGATGTTAAGGATCTTAATGCTCAGCTGGTATGTTCTATTTGATGCTTAATTTATTTTTCATGCTCCCTTCATGCTCATATTTGCTTACATTTACACACGTGTCCCTAGGAAGTCAAGGGTTCATATAAGCACTATTAATTGTCCTTTCAACCAATGATTTCTTTTGTTATTTAGAATTAGGTTATTCTTTATAGGTCGATTTTTGACATGGAGATTTATGTGGGTCTTTTAAGTCTTAATCTTGATCATAGACAATTTGGTGCAAGTTCATAGTTTTGTCGGTCCTAGAAGAATTTTTTTATGCGTATCTAAACTAAACTTTACTAAAATTCTATTCTCCCGTGTAATGTTGAATCTCTGTCTTAGAAGTCAAATTGACCTGAGTTAACAGCAGCTTGTATCATAGGATGAGGTACTCTTATTTATGGTTTTGTGTTGAGAAGAATTATATGAGCAATGCTCAAGTAACTTATCTGAAATGCTTGTCCAAACTGTTTAGATTTTATTTTGCTTCTATGATGCTGATGTCACTACAACCAATGTATACAAATAGGTACTAGTCTTTGTGATACAGGATGGGAAGATAAAACCAGGAAAGGTAAACGGGCGGGAGGGGATCTATTACATGAATAGCTTACAGAAATATAAGCTTGCACACAGCAGGCTTGGAGAGAAAACAGAAACCACATGGTTTCTAGGAGAACTTAACCATAAAAGGCTGGAAAATATAACTGCTGAATATGATCTGAACTTATTGCAGAGGCTAAATTTATCGGTCAACTGCATATAATTAGGCGATAACTGAAACCTAAACTGAAATAACATAACTAATGCCTAAAGATAAGAGAGAATTGAAACCCAAGTGTAAATGACTTGAGTAATACTTGATTTGACCAAAAATCAAAGATAAATGAATATTAAACAACTCAACAATGCCACCTTCAGCATTTATATATTGCTTCTTGATCACTCGATGTCAATCAGAAACTTGGAATTGTACTTGAAGTTCAGTGCTTAATGCTTAAAAAATAAGTAGGATATAATTATATAAATGAACCATGACATGCACATTACTTACAATATCTTTTCTGCTTTCTAGAGGCGTTTGTTAGAATTGAGGGAGGCTGTTGAGAGGCAGCGGAAATCATTAAAGAAAAAGCAGCCAGGTATATGCCTAGCCATTCCTTATTTTTGAAGTCGTTTAAATGATTTTCATGATTCTGAGTTGCCGATATGTTATCATTGTGCTGCATGAAAATTGATCTCCCTTATCAACTGCACAATAGAAATACAATTCCGGAAGAAGCGAAAAGACTATCATTGCCATCTTAAATTATCTGACGTTCAACCTTTCAGATTTTAATATTTCAGTTCTAACCAAGTTCTAAAGCCATTCCTCTTAATTTGAAGATAGGGGTGATGTAGCTGAAGCCGAGTCAGGAGCTCCAGAAGAAGACGCCATCATCCAGGACGAAATCTACAAATCTCGTCTAGCCAGCATCAAGCGTGCAAGTTCCCTTGCTGGTTGTGATATAATTTACACTTCATTTTGAAAATTTTCATTAAATTGTTGATACGTAACAGGAAGAGGAAAGCTATGTGCGCGAACGAGATCGGTATGAACTAGAGAAGGGGCGACTTATACGTGAAATGAAACGTATTAGGGATGAGGATGGTTCTCGTTTTAATAATTACCAGATCCTGAACCATCGATATGCCCTCTTAAACCTTCTTGGGAAAGGAGGATTCAGTGAAGTTTACAAGGTCAGTATGTTTCCTTTATTTTTTTATTTGGTAGTGATTTGGATTTTGGACAATCAATCCAATTGCATCATATTCCAACTAACTTTAACCTTTTTAAATGAGATTTAAGTTTTTCTTTTGGATGGATAATCTGTATGATTTGTCATACACATCTACAACCGTGTGAGTGTGTGCATTGATTTGAAGCAACGTTTTCTTCATCAGGCATTTGATTTGGTGGAGTATAGATATGTTGCATGTAAGCTTCATGGTTTAAATGCCCAATGGAGCGAGGATAAGAAGCAAAGTTACATACGTCATGCTATACGAGAATACAATATTCATAAGACCTTGGTACACCATCACATTGTTCGGCTATGGGACATCTTTGAGATAGATCAAAATACTTTTTGCACGATTTTGGAGTATTGCAGCGGTATACCTATTCTAAACATTTTCCTGATATGGTGTAGTTGACGTCGAAGTGTTTGTTAAGCATAATTGCTGACGTCATTCTGGTTGTAGATTTTTACGATTCCATCATTCGTTCTAAACACAGGTAAAGATCTCGATGCTGTTCTTAAAGCAACCCCCATACTGCCAGAGAAAGAAGCTCGGATAATTATTTTTCAGATATTTCAAGGACTTGTTTACTTGAACAAAAGAAACCAGAGGATTATTCATTATGATTTGAAGCCTGGGAATGTCCTCTTTGACGAATTTGGTGTTGCAAAAGTAACTGATTTTGGTCTTAGCAAGATTGTGGAGGATGATGTCGGATCCCAAGGCATGGAGCTTACATCTCAGGGAGCCGGAACGTATTGGTGAGTGTTCATTGTATTAACCATTTGATTCTGTATTGGATTCTTCTTGTTTTATAATACTCTTAGTTTAAATTTTGAATATCAAGCCTAGTACTCCCTGAATTCAAAATTCGGATGAACTTTTTCTCTTTATTATTGGAATATTTATGTTTATTTGTATACTTTATAAACATCAAAATCATCCATGAAGAAGCTCATATTCATTTTTGATGCCATACCTGATAATTTTTAGATTGTGAAATTGCTGAGTTTTATGACTTGTCATCTTTTTCGGACTTGCAGAGGTTAATGTCAACTGGGTCTACTTTTTGTTCTCTCTTTTTGACTCTCTTTCTCTCAAAAAGTTTAAAATTGATACTAAAGGTCAAAGGTCAACCGTAATACTAAAGGTCAAAGGTCAAAATTGATACTTAAGGTCAAAGGTCAACCGTAATACGTTCGACTCAAAGGTCAAAAGTGTCGTGAGTATTAAGTTTGAATTTGAAATTTTTGTCCGACTCTCAATTGTCAATTAAGAACACTTGCTGTGCAATGACTTTTGATAGTTTTGGATTGTTCAATTCAATGTCCAAACATACTTGAATTTTTTGTTTAACACTTGTTTTCTTTGTTATGCTTTGTTAGAGGGTCCTTGTTATAAATTTCGCATAATCCTGATTCGAACTAATGTCTTAGAGTGAAGTATTTTTTGGTCAACCAACTTGTCTTTGTTAATGGTCCGTCTGTTGCAGAGGATGATTTCTTTTCTACATCCACAGGTACCTTCCTCCAGAATGCTTTGAGCTTAGTAAGATCCCTCTCATTTCGTCAAAGGTCAGTGAAGTGGCTTTGACTTGATGCTATGCCAATAGTTACATTACCTTTGAGCAATGTTTTTTATAAAAGAAATGCTCCAATTTAGGTTTTTCTTTTGGTGATATCTCCAAGGGAGACAAATGTGGTTATGAAGGGATATGGGTCTTTCAACTTGTTTGTATGCTTTTTTCAACTTCTTGGCTTGTTCTTTTTTCTCTTTTGGAAATAGGTTGATGTATGGTCAGCTGGTATTCTGTTGTACCAAATGCTTTTTGGAAGACGCCCTTTCGGGCATGATCAGACACAAGAACGCATATTGCGTGAAGATACCATAATCAAAGCCCGAAAAGTTGAATTTCCATCTAGACCATCTGTGTCTAATGAAGCAAAGGTAAAGTCGTTCAACCTTTATAGTCGTTTTTAATATTGAGAAAGCAGGCTTAAGGAATTAAAATTCAGAATATTGTTTTTGGTTGCAGGAATTTATTCGGCGATGCCTAATGTATAACCAGGAAGAAAGACCAGATGTGTTAACTATTGCTCAAGATCCGTACCTCATATATTCCAAGAAATGACACCAAACAATGGAGATAAAAAGTCGCCCCAGTAACCAACCACAGGAGTAGGGTCCATTGGCACCCTGGTGAAGTCTGAGAAAACTACAAGCAGCCCAAAAACCCACAGCAGATATATGGGAAATTTTCCAGGAATCAGGTTTTTACACCCCACTCTGCAAAACAATTGTATTCTTTGTATGGGTTTCTTTTTGTATGTAAATATGGAAGAGTTTTTTAGCTTCATGGTGAAGTTATTATGGTGGATTTTTTCAGAATATTATGGTTTTTGCTCTGTGGTTGTCAATAAGTTCCTTAATACACAACAAGATCTCATGTTTAAGTCTGGCCCCGTTTTTCCGGCTTCCCCATCAAACTTAACGGGATTCGATTCCAATTCCGTAAAGAAAAGTCCGAACCCACAAACATTGGAATTAAAAATCTCATGTGGTAATCGGTATTTCACTAGATTTGTTTGTAATACTGGTTTAAAATATAGTTTGAATACTTTTATTTTGTGATAATGAACTAATAAAAGGTAATTTAATTATTTATAATTTGTTTTTATAAATTATCTTATAAAGAATGAAATTTAATTCCGTTATAAACCAAACACCAAATATTCCTTTCAAATTTTGTCTAAGAAATTCAAATCTCTTAAAAGCATTTTGTCATGTCGAACAGTCCTTTAGTTTTAAAGTCGTCTTGCTCTACTACTAGTTCCTCTTGATACTTTATCACACCATACAATCTTGAGGCATAATAACTTGTAACTGAGGTCTAGGTCAAGTTTTTGTTGAACCGAACAGTTTCTTTTATTTTTTATCTCATTAAGCACTGCTTAATACATAAGAACCAAACACCCCCTAAGTTTAAAATTATAACGATTTCTGCCAAAGTTAATTTCCTGATTCCCACTATTCTAATTGATTTGGATCAAAATGTAACCTTAAAAAGAAGAAATAATTTTAAGTTTTTTGTCCCAACATTTTAATCACCGTTTATTTACCTTCCTGAAAACCTCCAATAAAAAACACTACTTCTCAAAGTTCAATATCAGTTGTAGTCAATAGCTTCCCATTTGTTTCTCCATCCCTTTCAAAATGTTTTCTTCTCAATTCACTTTTTTTGATACATCGAGAAAATGTCATGGTTGAAAAATGTGCATAAAACATTCTTTCTAAAAATAAACTAGCTTATGTTATAAAAAAATTGAATTACAGCAAGCCAGCAAAGCCCTTGACGCTTAATCGCTTCATTTAGGCACCTACATTGGAGCACACCTTTCGCTAGGAAGGGATCAGACGGTGTGTTCTCGAATTTTGGAGAGAAAAGAAAGAAAAAGAAAAGGAGGGAAAAGATGTGTTCTCGAAAGAGAAGGAAAAAAAATAACTTTTTATGTTCTTACTGTAACATCCCCAAACACCACATTTGCATGTAACACATATTTCATTACATAGAAATACAGTTTACACCACAATGGTCCTACAAGTACAAGGATTCTTATATGTACAGAATCTACATATGAAAAATTCAAAAATAAAATCTTGTACTATCACGAGTATAACAACATGTATCTTCCAAAACAAGCAATCTCAAGCAGGTCTCCAAAAGTAGATATTAGATTAAGAAAATAATCACATTTTCCCTTTCCCCTTATTATCCCTGGATCCCACAGTTCTTGCATCGCGTATTTTAAAAAACAGAAAATGATGTTAGACCAGAAGGGTCTAGTGAGTAAATCCCTTCCTTGCAAATGCAGGGTGATAAATACCAAAATATAATAAAATATCTTTACTCAGGAATATTTGCATTTCAACCAAACAATGCAGCTCTTAATATGATGAATGATAGGATAAACTTATTAGTATCAGTTCTTGATACAAACACATCTGCTTAAAGATCCAATATTCCAAAATAGAATTAATATTGCAGCTAAAGTCCCTTTGACTCAACAGACTAAAGCATCTCTTTTAAAAGACCAGAATTCCTCTGTATGTATTATAAATATTAATAGAAATTTTTAAGGCAATAATTGCCTCTTGTGACAAACCATTTTCCCCTTCTCAATAACATCTATATTATTTCTAATAAGAATAATATATCTAATTCATCAGGTCACGAAGAAATGACGATTCAAAGTTATTAAATCCAATTAGTAATAATAATAAGAGTTATAAAAATATCCACATATGACAATGCCTCATTTATTCCAAGGTACACCTCTCCTTGATATGCCACCCTTATTCCTCCAAAACAGGGATACTTATCAGAACATGCATAAGTCACCACCTCTGGGGGAACTACCTCTTAAAACAAGTTTCATACCAAAACAAACATACGTCACTACGCTTGGTAGAAACAGTTCCCAAAATCCAGTTCCATACCAAAACAGACTTATGTCACCACGCTTGGTAGGAATGTTTCCCAAAATATAGTTTCATACCAAAACAGACTTACGTCACCACGCTTGGTAGAAACATTTCCCAAAATCCAGTTCCATACCAAAACAGACTTATGTCACCACGCTTGCTAGAAATGTTTCCCAAAATATAGTTTCATACCAAAACAGATTTACGTCACCACGCTTGGTAGGAACATATCTTTTTATTTAAAAAGATATAAAATACCCCCTTTCACAATAGTATATTTAAACCCAATTACAATTAAATTGTGGAAATTCCAGCACTTAACAAATTTTATACCCAAAAATGGTTATCCGGACAGGTTATCTGGACAAGCTATCCGAACAACCTATGCCCCTTTTGTCCGATTTACCAATCCGGTCAACACTAAGACAAGTCCGATCAAAGCATGATCGGATTGTATTATATCGGGTTGATCAATTTAAGACTAAATCGAACAACCCTTGATCGTATTCCTACTTCTCCGTTCAAAACCATTGTCTGATTTATATAATTAAAATCTCACCACCTCTCTGAACTGCACAGTACTATGTTCGACTTACAGCTAAATCGAATAACACATGTCCGATTTAAAACAATCCGGACAACACTATGTCCGATTTATACTTAATCCGGTCACCCCTTTGTCCGGATAAGGACCCAAATCGGATACATGATTTCTCAAGATTAATAAGCAACATTCAATAAAACCAGTAACAAATTTTATATAAAAGAGGTTTAGAAATCACTCACCTTAAAACAAAACTCAAATTTTGAAGATATAAAAACCAAATTGAATCCAAACTTGTTCTCTAGATAAGCAAACTCAATACTCTCAATATTTCTAAAAGAAGCAGAAAAACCTAGCCCCTTCCACAAAACCTCTATTTATACTTTCTAAATATAGAAAGCCAGCCACACACACATGACTTAAAGCATGCATGCATATTACCATAATACCACCCAATCCTATGCATGTAGTCACATTTCATATGTATAATTTATGCATACACATATATGATCATAATTTCATGCATATTTAAATACTTAACATACATTTTAACATCATGCATATATTCCCATGCATGAAAAATACGCATTCTCACATATTGAATTTATGTAAGCATGTACTCATGTAATCAATTTATCACATAGTAAATACCTCGTGTGATGACCATGACCCGCTTATTACACTTACCACAACACACCCACAAGGGTGGTTCAACCAAAAAAGGAGAAAGGGTGGGAGGCTAGGCCTCCCAACATGCTTCTTACATGTCATACTTTGCCTTCTTTTATTTTATTATTTTAAGTGTCATTTGTAGTGCATTCGGAAGCAACCATTATACTTAGAAATCAACTTACGAGCAACCTAAAACCAACCATGGTTTCATTAGTCATTCTATATAAATTTTATATCAAAATATAAAACTTATATAATCAACGCCACACATAACAAATTTAATATACATTTGATAATAATATGTATCAAATACATATTCTTAAACACAAGTCAAAAAATATATTCATAATATATTTTATCATTATCAGAATTATTATTTCGACAAAATAATAATTTGCATGACAATTGTTTGGGTTGAAATAATCGAATCGTATTCGATTGTACGATTGAGGTTAATTTGCTTGTATGTGTATGACCCTTTGGGATCGTGTATCATTAGCTGTATTGTCAAGTGTACTATCATGGGCATACAGATCCAACAATCTCCCACTTGCATATGACACAACACATCATGATACAGATAATGGTAAACGTCTAACAACATTCCACTATCTTTAATGACAAACGACAAAGCTACCCTTATGTGAAATGATAAGCTCATGAACTTGTTATCAACGTTACAGGTAATAATACTATTAACCCTTTGTTACCGACATTCCATTGAAACATGAGACATGGATCGAATCATTCTCATATGGTGTTTAACTATTCTGCTTCTCGACTGAGATTCAAAATGATAAAGCAAATAATGTTGAACAAATTAACCTAGTTTGAGCATGGCCATGCATTTTCATCACTTAAGAATCATCGAGGGCCCCAGAGATGTCACTCTCCCATCAAATGAAAGTAACTATCATGTCTAACATTGGTCTTTATAACTGCATGTTAAATCAAATTTTGACCAAATTAAGATATGACAATCCTCATACAGAAAAACCAATATGTATCTTAGGTCTAGGGATAATTATCTTGTTCTCGAGACTTACTTATGACACCGATCCATAAAGCGATCTCGAAAGCGGGTCTTATTCAATATTTGTTCTCTAAACACATGCGAATTTTGGTTGCAATCATATCCTACTTTCATCATCCTTGAAAGTCAACCAACCAATTCCCTTTAGTCTTAATTCATAGTTATTCCCGTAATTACAATCAACTATGGATTACTCTGATAACTAATTTATTCATGGATTTTAAACATGCTAATATAGAATACAACAATTGTTAATTATCATAACTATGTCTCCACATGTCATATTAAAATAACCAAGTGTCTCTTACACATTCCAAAACATCAAAGTACTAAAATACAATCTTATATCCAATCACTTGCAAGCTGAAACCCAATTGATCTAGCATGTCTATCATGCTTAGACTGATGTAAAGCTTTATGAATGGATCTATCAAATTCTGATCTATGCAAACTTTAAGAATACACACATCTCCTATTTCTACTATTTCACAAATGTAGTGGAGTCTCCTGAGGATATGATTGGTGCTATGATGTGATCTAGGATTTTTTTGCTTGTGCAATTGCACCTGCATTATCACAAAAGATCTATATAGGGTCCTCAATGCTTGGAACCACTCCTAGATGAACAATGAACTTCTTCATCCAAGCAACTTCTTGTGTTGGCTTTCGAGGCAACAATGTATTCAATTTCTGTAGTAG